TACCCAATTTCTTCACCCATTTTTTGGCAGAGCTGCATGTGTTCAGTCTTTTTTAAATAGCTTATGACGACACTGAAAAAAATTATTTAAATTTTCAGCTTGACGCTTTTGTCTCTACACACAATCCAGACAAGGCAAACTGACTGAAGAACCTTGAAAAAAATTATATCATGAATATGCAGATAAAGGCACCAAAGATGACTCATGAAAAACTTAATTGTTCCCTTCTGCTGATTTAGTTTTCACAGAGAAACAAATTGTGCACTTCTGGGAAAATCTGTAAGATTATCAGATTAAAAAAAAAAATATTATTTTCCCACTGCCCACTTTTATATAAAGAAGGCTTTTTTTTTTTTTTTTTCCCCTTTTTAAGTTTTCCCCCAGGAAAATTTAAGTTCCCATAGCACAGAAATATTCTTGGATACAACCAAGTAAGAGAAACAGACACTGTGCATAGCAGTCAGCCATTATTCCATTTCTGGTTTTTATCATGCTCCTTATTATACAGTGATTTAACTTACAAGCAGCAGTAAGACAAGGGGCAGGTCATGACAAATATCCTTAAAGGACACTGACAGTTTTTAGCACATCATTAGTGTTCAGCAATGGCTGATGCACCTCAGAAGCGGCTGTACCGATGCAATACGTACACCCCAAGGTAAGAGGGCTTCCCAGGTAACTCCCCAAATAGAGTCATAGAGTTGTCCAGGCCGGAAGGGACCTCCAAAGGTCATCTACTCCGACCTCCCCGCAGTCAGCAGGGACACCCCCAACTAGACCAGGTTGCCCAGGGCCTCGTCGAGCCTCTCCTTGAATATCTCCAGGGATGGGGCCTCAACCACCTCCCTGGGCAACCTGTTCCAGTGCTCCACCACCCTCACAGTGAAGAACCCTCTCCTAATCTCCAGTCTAAATCTGTTCCCCTCCAGCTTAAAGCCATTGCTACACCTAACATTTGCAAGTGAGACTGCTGCTTTCTGGGGTATTGGAATGATGATACCCTTGGCCATTTGAAAATTTCAGCAGCAGTTCAGATTTTTTGAATAATCGTTTTAGAGTCTAAGGGGAAGGAAATAGAACCATCAGATCAAGTAATAACATACCTGATCATCGTGACAGTGCTGGCTCCATTTCTCAACTTTGATGCACCACCTGGTTCTAAAAAGACAACTCCCAACTACTCTGCAGAAGCCACCGAAGGAGAAATTAAAAGCTTTAGGACACAGATGAGTCCAAAGGATTTCTTTGGACCCTGTCATTTACTGGGCTAAAATTAGCACATCATATTCACCGAAGAAAACATTGACCCAGCAGATCAAGCATTAGAAACTGTTGGCAATCATCATTTGATCGTGCAGGGACACAAAGACACTTCTGCAGCTCTGGTGAGCTACTGAGGAGAGGTTGGATGCAGCATGGTACGTCCAGGGCCCTGGCAGCCCATCTCCAGCTCAGCCCTGGTTTCCTCCTACAGGAGTAGTTCACACTGGCCAAGACCAAGATCTGGGCTCCTCTTCATCCAGCTGCAGGCCTGAAGGTCTCAAATGCCTTGTGGGAATAACAAACAGGGACTAAGCATACCATTAAAGTATTTTCCTGCTTTAGTTCTAGATGTCAGAACTGTTCTTTGTCGCGTTTCCCCTCCATCCCTCCTGCATTAAATTGTGACAGGTTTAAATTCTTTTCACAGTTGCTGCATCTTGCAAACGTATTCAAATTTATTTTCATTTAGATTTCAGACCGAGACCAAAGTTTGAAGGAAATCACTTAAGCAGATGCATCATGAAAAACAAAAGAAACAAAGAAGCCTCAAACACAAAACTTTAGCCAGCTTCAAAAGATTTCAAAGACTCAGTTACTTTCATTACAGGAAAATAAACAGAGTTTGTTTATTCCTGGATGCAGCCAAAGAGTGAAAACAAAAATTAGGAAAAATGAGAAAAAAATCATAAAGATTGATTACCGTAATTTGGAGGAAGGTAACTATCTCCTCACTTTAGAAGGAAGTTAGTCATCATGGCAGCCAGTCTCCAGTCATCTCTCAATCTTCATGTCACCAGAGGGAAGGAAGGAAGCTGCTGGCACACGCTTCTCCTAACACCAAGCTCTGCCCACGCTGTCATCACATGCCCCGAGGCGTTCAATCTGCCACCATGGAACCTGCTCACCTGCCCCATGCCAGATTTTGGGAGAACGAGTAGAAATGGTGCTCAGTTGCAAAAGCTAAAGCTGATTATAACTTGTCAGACAAAAACCAAATGCAGCAAGAAGTTTTATGAAATAGTTCAAATTCAACAAAAGCTTTTGGCTGAGTTTCCCCGATTTCAGAGGTTAAAAGTTCCAGGACAGCTCTGCACCTAGAGGTAGAGACCAGCCATAGGACAGGAGATGGAGAACCTACAGCTACAAACCGGTCTGCAGCTCCCTGCTGTGCCAAGATTCCCCAGGACCTTTCAACTCCTGCAGAATTCTCAGCTCTGGCAACTTCACAGTCCAAATTACCAGCTGCACAGAAAGATCCTTCATAACCCCACCACCCCGAGTTCTTACTGAGGCTTCTTACTGTTCAATTGTTGGCATGAACTCCCTGAGATCACAACCCTTGAGCCACCTGAATGTTACCATCAGGAGCTGGAAATCTCCAGAGTACCAATACTGCAATCTGATATAAGCAAAAAATCATCTTCATTTCTTTAAATAGTTTTTTCCACCTCCAACGGATTTCTATAAAACTGATACAAGCAAAAAATCATCTTCATTTCTTTAAATAGTTTTTTCCACCTCCAACGGATTTCTAACTAAATGGAGGAGAACGCGAGGTATCACATAGCTTGGAAACAGAGCCCATAATGAAGAATTAAACTATGCACAGAGTAATTCTAGCAAAGCAACAGAGAGGAGAATTTATTTGTATAATACACAAACACATTTAGATGTTTTGGGACAACCCAACCCCCGCAAGCAATTTTGATTCGTGTTATGGATAGCTTGGTTATTTCTAGATCCCAAAAAAACTGGAGGGGTTGCCATTGGTAGCATTCGTTGTCTGTACTCATACAACTCAACCCCAAATGCCCTTACCACACACTGCTTCAGTGTTCCCTTCAGAGAAGGAAATACCACCCTGTCATGGTTCTTGTGCCCAACATTACAGCTGTAACCATAGGACCACCCTTTTAGAGCACCTTCAAGATAAGTCAAGTCTTAGGCTATGTCTACATCAGCAAGTGTGATGTGAGAATCTGACTTGTAGGGCAAGACATTTGGCCCACACTGCTTCAGTGTTCCCTTCAGACAAGGAAATACCACATTAAAGCCCTGTCATGGTTCTTGTGCCCAACGTTACAGCCGTAACCATAGGACCAACCTTTTAGAGCACCTTCAAGACAAGTCAAGTCTTAGGCTATGTTCACATCAGCAAGAATCTGACTTGTAGGGCAAGACATTTGGCACTAAGAATCCAGCTGTCACTCTGCTGTGGGGGCCATATTTCAAGCAAAATCTTACCTGGTCCAGCAGACTGAACACTTGCCAAGCAGCCAACACACAGAGGACACATCCTGTGGTTTAGAGAAGAACCTCCCTGCCCATGGCAGGGGGGCTGGAACTTGACACAGAGGACACGTCCTGCAGTTTAGCCTTATCAGAGAAGAACCTCCCTGCCCGTGGCAGGGGGGTTGGAACTTGATGATCTTTAAGATCCCTTCTAACACAAACCATTTTATGATTCATGCACCGACACCACTGTGTGATTCAAACTCAAGTGTGAAAAGCAGGGAAGACTCAGAGATTTACTCCAAGAGCATTCATCTGACCCAAGATAAAAATGGCAGCGTAGGTGCAACTTGTTCTCCCAGCAGCTTCCCACACCACCAGCATCCCTCACCACATGGGGAACGTGCAGCGCTGAGATAAGAGCCATTCAATAACCCTCACTCCAATGAAAGTCAGTTTAATTCTTTTCAGGCTTCAGCATCTATCCTCCCATATGCATAAGTAAGCAACAGTCATTAATTTACACAATCCAATTTTAGTTAAGCAGGCCAAGATATCATCAAACTATCACCCCCTAAAAGGCTTCTCTCTCTCCATTGCAAAAGTAATCAAATTTCAGTTATATATGATGAAAATCCAGACTGGGTAAGAAAAGTTTTCCCTAATTTGTTTTTTCACTTGATGACAAAGTACCCTAAGCTTCCTTGGAGACTTGAACCACACAAGTCTACTGAAGTACTGAAGAGAATAAGCCATGTTTCCTCATTTATTTATTTTTTTTCCATTCTAAAAACGAATCACAAGAATATTAACTGCTTAGTGTTGTACGTGCCTGGAGTCACATTCCTATATATGCAACAAGCCTGTTTTCGCGTGCCAATCCAATATAATCTTAGATTTATTGATGCTTACATCATTTTTACTACCAGCAGCTACAAAACACAGGAAAGATTTATACTAAGCCAAATAATTTGGCTGTTAAGAAAATACAATGGATTTTCGAGTGACACCAGGACCCCAACATTTACAAGCATTTTCAATAATGAAAACACTCCATGAACTTTGAATTTCATAAGTTACTACGCGTTTGTTATTAAAAAAAAAAACTACCACCAAAAAAGATCAACTTGATCTCTGAGCTACAGCCTTAACACTGATGTTATCCAGCTCAACTAATTATCTTAAGTGTATCAACTTTCATTAGAGGACCGTTCATTTTCTTTTCCTCTTCTCATGTCCAGATTTTTTAAAGTAGTCTCTGACAAGAAAGAAGCCCTTCACCTCCCAAGAGAACCACACAATTGCTTTTATAAACACAATTTTAACACTGTTTTGAGACCTGGTATATATTTTAGTACTGATAATCAGCATTTCTCAGGCTATTGCATTTCCCACAGAACACCAAGTCAAAACTTTATTAATTTGTCTGGAGACATATTTGCTTTTCTTGAAAAGCAACAAGACTGATAACTCTCTTAAAGAAAAGAACAATTTTTCTAGGCTAATTATAACATGGAATGAATATCCTTTATTAACATTCTTTATTATGAGAATAAATACATTAAACAAATGCAATATATTAGCCACATTTCCTCATATACATTCAGAATAGAACAGGAAGCTAAGAGCCATAATCATCAGAACTAGTTGAACAAAGAAATTGGTACTAAGCCAACAACACTGGAGGAAAGCTGGAAAGTTTATGCACTAACATCAGGCAAAGAACATGTGATTTCAGTGTTTCCTTGACAGTAATTTAAAGACAAACATACTGTAGTTATAAGTATGAACTGATGGAAGTGTTCAGCTCCGGGCGGTGGCCGTTTGAGGTTGTTCTGACTGCAACTGCTTTCCAAGGTATTCCCTGAAATACAACAAAAAAAATTGGATTGAGAAACACTCTGGAGTGTGGGGAGTAGGACAGCGGTGGGAAGTATGAAGTAGAGAAAGAAGAAAAAGCTTTAAGTTTAAAATTATTCCTTCAAATAATGTCTACTAATAGTTGATAGTCAACTGGAGCTACAAGGAGAGTACCTAAGCTTTAGGTATCTGTCATCTATCTCCCTGAAAATAAAGTATAAACTGAACATCAAACTGTCTGGAAAAAGAAAAAGCCCAGTGGTAATATTTAGAAGTCTTGGCAGCTGTTACAGAACACCCACAAAGTCCACAGATTTTTCTTGCTGAATATACATATTAGGAACTATGGTATTTAAAAGGATCTCTTCCTATAACCCAGCTGCATGAGCACGAGTAATAGCGATGGACACACTGGCAATTCAACCCACAGGCTAAAAAACAGACACTGACTGAAGTTTAAGTTGGAAGAAAGAAAAGATGCCCAAGCCAGGCCCACTGTGCACCAAGGCTTTCTTCTTGAAGTGTTTTCCTCATCTGTATTTTGAAGTGCACTACGTAAATTCTATGGAAAAACAGCACACAATTCTTCTGGATGTTCCCATCGTTCACTGTCTCATGTGGAAGCAGCTCAACACTTCACAGAAACGCAAAGAAGCTGAAAGAGGCCTTTAGTAATAGCTGGGTTGGTGCTTTTTATAGCAAATAAACTTCAAGAATTGTATCAGGGTATCGGGTGAAAGAGGTTTTAGGCCCTGTGAAATATAAACATTCTTTTTCCATTGCTGATCATACACTTAGCACTACAGCTTTTCCTCACTACACAGGTATTTCAGCCTACACAGGTTAAATGTTAGAAGCAGTTCGCAGAAATCATGTTTAGAATGAAGTCTTTTAAAAAAGAAAACCCTAACTCAAGGGCATGCACTTTTGCTTTATTTAGAAAGAAAAAAAATCAGTTCTAATTACACATTTCAAAAATGTGTAAGTTTTCAGCTTAGTATCTTGTTGAACAGCTATTCCCTATGCATTTTATTTCCTATCACACAATGAAGATTAGCATCACAACTGAACCACTCAACAGAACTTTCCTCAATTTTATAGGGAAGTTGCTAAAGAAGCAAAATTCCTATAAAGTATAATGCTAACTTTGAGCTCCACTAGCAAAGAAAATAACAAATCTTTTTATATGCTGAGCTATACATTATGGTTTAGCACCTTCCATTCAGAGCTTTATCAGGTGTTGCTGCAGGATCACAGTATTTTAACACTTGGGCTGCACTCAGTAGGTAAAACTCCTGATTATAATAGGTACATCACCACCCTCAAAGCAGAGACACCTGATGGCAAAGGAGGAAATGAGCTGCTCTCTTGTGGTTTTGCAGGACTCAAAATGTTCCACCAAAATAAACAAGATTTGACAGACATCCAAAAAACAGGCAGCAACTACAGAAAAGCTTCCAAGCTCAAACCTCCTTCTGCTCCCTCAGTGGTTTGTGTTTGGGTTGTTTTTTTTCCCTTGTTTCATGCCTATTTTCATGTACTGATTGTAGGGTTTCTTGTCTAACATCCAGCCTTGAAGGCAACTGATGCTGCATACACAGCTGTGTTCACAGTATCACAAGCCTGCAAAGTTATTCTTAAACCACACGTGAACCATTTTGAATGTGAAATTCCTATGGTATTACTTAGAAGTAGTAAAGTTAATCAAGCCAGCAATCCATAACAGTACAAGTATTGCACAGCTTACACTGGTTCAGACCCATGCTCAAGGCTTACTGAAATCCAACCATAATACAGTGTATTCAGCAAAAATCTGAGAAGGCACAGCTGTAGCATATTTTGTAGGTATAGTGCCTTAACAGATACATTCCACTTCTAAGGTGATACAGGAGATAGGACTGTACCTTCCCTACGAAACCTTTTATTTTAGTCATTCATTTGGAGGTGTGACGTTTAAGTCCAGCTCTTATCCTGATCCCCCCCCGAGTGAGTATCCAGTATTAATAACCAAGATGTAAAGTTCATTGAGCAAAGGCTCAAGTAACTTGGAAGTTCAAATTTGCAAGTTTTGCTCTTCGGAACAAGAAGTTCCACTTTGACCGTCTTCCTCACCCTGGAACAGAAAGACCTTTATAAAGGTCAGTTTTAGCCCCCTTCTGACTTCCTTCAACATAAAACCAGCCTTATTACAAAGCAGACGAAGTTGGTCCAGACAGGTTTGCATTTACAGTTAACTGCATTCAAACATGAAACGACTGATTCAGTGTAAATTTACAGGAGCACAAACTATCACTGCTGTGCTGCGGAAAAGCATCAAAACATGCAAGTGTAGTACATCACTTTGGAGAGTAAATACAAAATCCTCCATTTCTCAGATCAACAAAACTTGAAACACCGCATTTTCTCACTTCCTTCGTCATTTAGAAGTCTGATGGTGAGGCATAAGTAATTTCCATATGCAAATTAATCTTTTCATTCATATTAGAATAATCAAGTGAGATTCCTTCCACACTAGCAATTTCCCCTTTTCAGGCCTAATCTTTAAACACACATTTTCTGTGGTATCCAAAAGGCTTTTTCCAGGAAGAAAAGGAAACTTAGATGTGAATACACAAATTTGTTTCATCTCAAATTCTTATTCCAATTTGTTGCTTCATTCAGTTTAATTTAATTGATTGTGCTGGCATATGAAAGACACTGACACCCCCAAGCTGAGATATACTTAAGTGTCACAGTAATTGCAACAAACGCTTAAAGGTCATTTAGGAAAAGGCACAAGAAACTGATCCAACACACAAGCCATCCAATTTGGCGAGCACGGAATAAGGAGATAATTGCAACCTGGCTCAAGACCCTATCTGAAAACGTTATACTAATTTTCAGCTTGAGCAAAGGACAATTGTAAACAACAATCTATGACAGATGGGAAAGTTTTAAGGTTTCAACAGAATTTCTAGAGGTCATGTACTTAAAGGAACAAGCTTTGCAGTTTAAGCTTTTATTGTTATACTCCGAATTCTAGATTTACCTACCCTTTAAGGAAAACTGAAAATAATTCTTTTTGGCAGGCAAGGGAAGAGAGGTAGATAAAGCATAGAAGAAATAAAGGATGAAATTTTCCTATTCTCTCTTTTCTAAGAACCAGAGGGCAAGGGAAGAGAGGTAGATAAAGCACAGAAGAAAGGACGAAATTTTCCTATTCTCTCTTTTCTAAGAACATTTATCTTAAATCTTGCTTAAATCAAATTTATTAAAGATTTACGTTATCCAAAAAAATATTTGACCATCTTGAACATCCGTAATTTCTAGCTTATTTTAGCAGACTGAAGTTCCCAAGAGACAGAATGCTTTCCTTTGACAAGGAACAATATAAAAGTATTGATTTTATTTTTCTCTATTTAAACATAAACCTAGAGTCCCATGCTTTTGAAAGTGAAAATGAAAAGCTAGTTCTAAAGAAATTCTTCCCTTTATGAAAGAGTACTAAAGTGCAGCACAGCTACAATAAGAAGACTCAAGCAACTCAAAAGACATTGCCAACACACATTGTTACAGACAAATCATAAAGATACAATTTAGATTAGATATTAGGAAGAATTTTTTCACTCTGAGGGCGGTGAGGCACTGGAACAGGTTACTCAGAGAAGTTGTGGATGCCCCATCCCAGGAGGTGTTCAAGGCCAGGCTGGATGGGGCTTTGAGCAACCGTCTTTACGTTGTATTTCGACTATGGGTCTAATAACCTGGATTTGTTGACAGAGACACTGCAAGAACCTCCCTTTTCATTCAGCAGTTTCCCTTCAGAGAGATTTTTGTCCATTTGTTGGAAGATTAATTCTAGTCTTCTAGTTCACAATTTTACATGCAAGCTATAAAGAAACAGCCGATCAATGAGCTCCTATTACAAGGCCATTACTCAAACATTTTATTAGATTTTAAAAGAAAAATCTATAAAATTCAATTCAATATATGCCTTTATATTAGGGAGACAATGTATAAGTCATTTTTGCTTATAAGATGCACTATGAGCTAACACAGCCACTCTATGAATTAAAAAGAACCAACTTGACTGAACCATGCCACTTGGTTTGAAAGTGGTTTTATATTAAATCAGAAGATTTAGTCGCCACAATGAACAGCAAGCAAAAATGCTTTCAACACCTGAGAGCTTTAATTTTGCACAAAATATTTCAGAACGACTGACATCGATCACGATTAACTGCATTCTCTTACCAGGAAATCCAATCTCTAAAGTAACGCTAATCAGAAGTATGAAGTTAATTCTTTGGTGACGTGCATAGCACAAGAAAATGAACAATTCATTTGAAAAAAAAGAAAATGCAGACTGAGCAGGACGTTTGATATTTGCAAAATATTTGCTCCACATTAACAGAAGCTGTAGAAATATTAAAGTGTGTTTTACGAACACTGCAGATCTCAAGACAGATAACATGATCGGAGCGTGGAATCCCGGAGAGCACATGCACGATACAAACCACAGTCCTTACCTGAATGGAATGAAGCCTTACAAGAATACATATTTATGTTCAAATAAAAAGATGGAACGCTCATACTAGATACCAAGCATGCCTATAACTAATTGGATTTTTGCCTAACTTGTCTCATCCTAGCCAGGAACTGTCCTCTTAAAAAGAATATTTTTTTTCAGAGACATACTTTATCTCCTCAGACTTCTCATTTTGTTAACTTCTGTTAAGTACTAAAAAGGAATTGTATTGACGATGGAGGCTAAGAAACAGGATAAATACATACAGTGGACTGCATTATCATGTAGACATTTTTTCCTAGATTTATGTCTACTCTATTAAGCATTACATGTCTGAGTGTTGGGATGGGAAAAAAAAGGCTGGGGGGACAGCAAACTTCATGGGTGCAAGTTAACTTATCATTACACCTTCACTTCCCACTACCAAAAGCAAGCAATATACAGAAGCTATCTTAGGAGATACATGGACACAAATTTGTTTCATCTCAAATTCTTAT